TCTCCCTTTTAGACTTTGGAGTTGAAGATGTAAGTCATCTGTGTCTGCACTATGCAGGTGTCTTGGAAGAAGCAGGCATCAGCATGGATGATGCACTTACAGAGTGGACCATGCTGAAAACACATCTTTACAACAGGTACTGAAAAAAAAATCACAACAAATCTGTGTTAATAAGTTCCACAAACTATAAAAGCATAAACATAAATCATAATCAAATGCTTTATTAAACAATTCTTCTTTTTTAAGGTACAAAACTGAAGTGAAAAGACTTACCTGGCCAGAAGTGAGTGCAGCATATACAGAGAGTCATGAGAATATCATGGCTCTCATTGATCTAATCCAGACCCTTCCTGCCAGCAGCTCGGAAAACGAGAGGGGTTTTAGCAATATGAAACTGATAAAGACAGACCACCGCTCCAGGTTGTCTACATCTAGTCTGGACCAGCTGCTAACTATACAGATGACCAGCCCTGGTGTGAAGGAATTTAATCCTGTGCCTGCCATCCAGGACTGGATGGGGGCAGTTAAGACTACAAGAAGGCCCAATTTTCAGGAAGGAAGAACACCCAAACGTGCCCGACTAGACAGCTTATTGCCAGAGGAGTCAGCCCAGTCTGAAGTAGAAGTTGAAGATGAAGGTGTGGTGGAATTTGGGCGCAATGAGCAACAGAATGATGAAGCAGAATCCGAGGGTGAAGGGTTTGAAGACGAGGATTTCGAATATGAAATGACAGAAGATGTTTTGCAGCAATTGAAAATGTTAGATTAATAGTTGAACTGTTTGTTGTTTATTGTTTGATGACACTGGATGTAAATAAAGTTAAAACTATTATTATTATTATGTTATATATTGTTGTTGTTTAAATGCCCTATTATATATCGTATTCCATTTATTATTAAGAATACCTTAGAATGCACATCACCAAATTGCACCATCCCCCCCTATAAAACGTCCCCACATCCGAGTCATTCACTTTGCTACGACAGAACTCCTGGACCAGTGCCTACTGACCAGGACCAGTGCTTCCTCAGATGCACTGGTCCTGCTGGACCAGTGCCTCCAATTATCAGTTTTTCACCCTGGTGGTGGCTGAGATTTGAGCGAGGCGGCCGCCTCTATATAAAGTAAGTGATGCCTTACGATTTCCATGAATCACAGGTTGGCATGTCTGCATGCTCCCCCCGAAAACTTTTTCAAAAATGGTGCAATTTGGTGCATTCTAAACCATTCTGAACATATATGAGACTCTTGAATCACTTTTTCAAGTTTTCAAAAGGGACAAACTAGCTTCTGGGAAAGATTTTACTTTTGTTTTTCTCCTCCCCAGTCCTCGGTACCCCCATGCATAGAGCAATGCTGCCGCACATCCGAAAAGTTACAAGTACCTAGAATCTTGAAGTATATACAGTTTACATTGCTTCTAGATATCTAACTGAATAAAAGTAGTCCACGTTCTACGTAAAGAAAAGTGACGAATTCAGTTAACAGCTTTGATTACGTGCGTGTCAGGTGTCACTGGTCGTGCCCTCATTCCCCACGATAACCCCTGCGACATATGAACTTATTGTTATGCAGGCATAAAAACAGTGGGCTATAGTACATGCCACCGCAATCGATTTCTTAGACTGTCACAAGGTTTTGTACGTGTGGCGAATCATGCGTTGAGGGAGTTCATGCCCTCGGCTCTAGATGTTTTGAATACCCCGTCTACGTTCAGAACGGAGCGTATTAGAATGCGCTCCCGTTTACAATTATGTCTAAACTGCTGTTGCGATAACCGTAGTATTTCAGCGTAATATGAGGGGAAAAAGTACCGATCGGGAGGACCGGCAGTTTCGTAGAGATGGTGGCCGAAGCAATAACTTGGTGGCCTCGGGCCTTCGGGTCGGCACTAATTTCGAACGCTGTCAATAAAGTGTAGTTTATTGATGGAAGAACATTGATTTTTGTCAGCGAGGCGCTGTGTTTGGATAAATTTCTGCGTGGTGGCTGAGATTTGAGCGAGGCGGCCGCCTC